AAGCTTTTTCAAATGTGGTGAAAACGTCCCTTTTCTATTCTTATCAGCCTTCCATCTAAAGAGAATAGCTGATCCTGCTGATAACTCAGCTTCTTTCTACCCATGGTCTTATCTGGCAGGTTTTGACAGAACAACCAATCAAACTGTGTTGCCAGAGAGCAAGCAACAACCTGCCATTAACCATATTTCCATGGTCTTATCTGGCAGGTTTTGACAGAACAACCAATCAAACTGTGGTGCCAGAGAGCAAGCAACAACCTGCCATTAACCATATTTCCCAATCTCAGGCTACCAGCTTTCCTTTTTGTCCTTTCATTGACAATGCACAATCCCAAAGACAGGGACTCTGTTCTCATACCCAAATGCTTTAGTTGCCTTTATCACATCACCAGATCTTGCTCATTTAATTAAGCTCAGGGCAGTGAGGGACAAAGAGTCCTCAATGTTTTACTCTTTCAGTTTTGCAGGTTTACAACCTGCACCCACATCAGTGCTTTTCGTCTGATGTCTTTGAAAGGAACATCACGCAGGGCCATAGATATGGACACAGGGCGTTCAAAAATATCCAGTGGGAGGCACAGATGAGGCTTGACTGAAAAAGACTTGTTCTTTATCTTGGGGTTTCATTCTTGACAAAGTAAAGCATTGGAAAACAGTATGAATTAGAAGGCAATCCTTCACAGTCACAACAGCAATATGTATAAGTACCTGGAAATGCTCAGCCTGGTCCATTAATTGGATTAAAAAATGCATTATCCCATGAAGACCAATCCCAAATTGAACTGGGCAAATAGCTGCAAAGGATCCTATTTCTTGGGAATAGGGAACAACTCAGAGGATGCAGACCAGAGGCAGTCATGTTTTGGTACCAGGACCAAGAACACACACAATCATAACATATAAATCAGAGAATAGACTTGTCTTTAATATTATGCCATAACATTCAGCCCTTAGTTCCTTGGTTTTTCTCTTAAAGGATCTCATGAATTCATCTTCCTAAATTGGTACCTCCTCTTAACAATAATTAGATCTATTTTTACAGTGTAGCATCTCATCTTAGGTTCTGGAGCTCAAAACTGGCTGGCAGTTTGACAGAAGAAATACAGATTTAGAACTGTTAGATTATTAAAGGAACTTTAACTGATTGCCCCCATAATCCTGTGCATCTTTGCAAGTCCTTCAGAGATGAAAGGGCCTTATTTCCAAGAAAATTTACACAGAGTTACAGCCTTAATATATGAGATTTAGCCATTTAATTTATTAATTAAATTAAGTCATATTTGCAAATGAATAAGCTAAGCTTATTTCTGAATATGTATGTGTGGGTATATATATATATAT